CAGTGTAAACACAGCAAAGTTGCAGTGTAAACACAGCAAAGTTAGCAATTGTAAACACCAAAAGTTGCAGTGTAAAACACAGCAAAAGTTGCAGTGTAAAACACAGCAAAAGTTGCAGTGTAAAACACCCAAAGTTGCGGTGTAAAACACAAAAAGTTGCGGTGTAAAATTTTGTTCTTGTCGGCCACGGTACAGGTGTGTTGACTGTGAAGGCCCATGTTACCCTAGTCCTTTGACTTGGTATTAATAACCTTCAGACACAAGAGATGAGGGGGTTATGAAAACTGTTTGTGTTGTCTCGTGGTTGCTAAAACACTAGTAGTGTTCGGGTATGAAGAAACATAATCTGAACTTTGTCATACTCAATTTCATATGTTCAAGCAGGTTCACGATATAACGTTTCGGAGACAATTAAATGTGCGGCTGAGATTTTTAACTTAGGTATAACGTTGCAAGCAACGTTGTTAGCAAAATAAAACTATCAAGCATAAAATCGGGCAACCTAAAGTGGACCTGAGGCAGCGGAGCTAAGTACATGGAAATGATTCATCATGATGAAAGCTCCTTGATGGAAGTTGCTGGTAGCGGTCACGTCTTTGTCGGATTTTGCTGAATAAACAACACGCGCGCCAAGACTCGCTCGAACAGAACTTACCTTCCTCCTTTACGGTTGTTGTTGTCGAAATCCATATCTTTCAGAACGCTCTGTTCAATATGTATTTCTCTAACGTCGGAGCTGGCACCATTCCCCATTGCAAGCGTCTAAATACCGGTCCCAAAACATGAAAATCTTCGCTTACGGCCAGCTAAAACATTTCTAGAGGCAACATCCGCCACTTCAAAATGGCGGCGTAGTGACGTCATGGCAACGCATAAACATTCTCATAAAATATTAATAGCATACCAAAATTCTACCCAAATAAACGTGTTAGGACAAGAAAAATAGTTTGAACCTATTATCCGATAGATAGAGCATGTTATTATGTCAATATATCAGATGTGATAACAAGAACTTGAGAATCACGTGACAAAAGCAATATCACGTGATCTAGGGCGCCTGTGTTGTGGAGTTTTCTATTCTCGAAGTAGAGGGGAGACGCTTTTTAATTTTATCTTCTTGAAAGTACACCATTGGTATAACATAAGAAGACGTTAGTAAGTTTTAAATATTTGTAATATTACAATAGAGCTAAAATAAAACAAATCTAGGTACGAATAGTTGTTTTTGCCCAAAATAATATATTTTCACACACCCCTATTTATGTCATCGTGTGACAGTCCATATTTAAAAGACCATCATGGAGGAAGAAGTTTGCAGTGGTATGTCGTCCGAAAGCTTTCCCGATCCTCCTGCAGATCCGCCAGAAGACAAGGCGCCGTGGGTGCTCACAGCCTTTCCGCAGATAGTGAAGAATGTATTGCAATACCTGCCGGCAAAGTCACTCATCCAGAGTGGGAGGTACGCCTGGTTTATTGTGCTTTGTTATGTGTTGCATTATAGTACTATATACTTTGGCAAGGAGGTTTGCCCGAGAAGAAACCAGAACCAAAAAATAGACAAACAGTAACTTTAAGAATTATGTAGTACTTAGAATCCTAGTATAGAACTCAAACATACATTATGTATGTATGCACCACATGTATTTTATACTGTGACAAAGCATGTATGCATTTAGCCCGTCTGGGCAAGGATATGCAATAAAGATCATTTCATTTCATCATTTCATTTCATTTCATTTCATTTCATTTCATTTCATTATTATTATAACCTCCTTGGTATTAAACTGCAGAACTGGGAAATTATGAAAAGAAAACTCTCGTTTATTGATTTATTTATCAAAACAAAAACTGAAAGACTGGCATAATGATTGTGTATATAATTATAATAGTCAATCTCAATTATGTAGGAACCCCAGTTACCCCATGGGGTAAAGTAGGGGACAGTAGTACTAGTACGTATAGCGCGGTCATACCGGTCTGCCTCTTTACCGGAAAGCACCGGAAAACACATATAGGTGACTTAAATCTACCAGAATACACCCTGCATTGATGAGATGATCCCCCAAGTCACTATATTTTGGCATAAAATTAAACTTATATGTAGCCTAGGGAACAAGTAATCACTAAATAATGAATTGGCGGAGGCAACCCCTCCAGTCGCCATGTTTGTTTACGTAGCGCAACGCAATATGTTTGTTAAGCGCGATCACTGGAATACACCCTGCATTGATTAGATAACATCCCAAGTCGCTGTATTTTGGCATAAGATAACTTATACATAGCCAAGGGAACAAGAAACCACTTAGATAATTAATCGCCGAATCGGCGGAGGCAACCCGGCCATGTATAGCATGGCTGCATGCTATACGTAATGACGTATATATATACAGCAAAGTGCGATGTTGAAGTATATAAGAAATTTTAATTCAGGTGTATTTCACTGCCCTTCTGTGATCGCGCTTAACAAACATATTGCGTTGCGCTACGTAAACAAACATGGCGACTGGAGGGGTTGCCTCCGCCGATTCATTATTTAGTGATTACTTGTTCCCTAGGCTACATATAAGTTTAATTTTATGCCAAAATATAGTGACTTGGGGGATCATCTCATCAATGCAGGGTGTATTCTGGTAGATTTAAGTCACCTATGTGTGTTTTCCGGTGCTTTCCAGTATTTTCCAGTATAAATAAGATAGGCAGACCCTGTATAGCGATCAACAAGCCAAATTCATGATCAAGTAACTACATGTAATAATTTTCTTAATCCTTTGCTGACAAATGTTTGAAACATCGGTCTACAAAAATGTAAATACAGTAGGTAAATCAACATTCCTACAAAACGGCAATGAATTTCTAGTTTCCCCTTTGTTATAGTGTTGTATCCTGCTGACACAACTGTCAACAAGTGCCAGAATACCTTAATCTTATCTTAAGTATCGTTATAGCATCATCAACTGACTCTCAGACTAAAGCTGTTACGTAATAAGACCACCTACATTTGTATGTTGGATAGCAGTGGCAACTGTTGCTTCTCTTACTCGCTGTCTTATACATACATGTAGCCGTATGTTGGACAGTTGAAGAATGAGGCCTTAAATTGAATACAAGCAAATGATATTCATCATGATTGCTGGTAAATTCCATCTGCAGGGTATGTAAGCTGTGGTACCAGGAGGCAAGTCGTATATTGCAGACCAGACAGGATGTGACATGGACAATGACCGAAGATGACATGCCAGTGAAGGATGAACTGACAGAATGCTTTGAGGTAAACTAAATGTTGTATAGCTTTCTCCAACACCTTTAACCCAAGTCCTGTGTTTTTCATAATCTGGTATTTTCACCACTGGAGGGTGTCTTGCCTGGGGTCTAGAGTTGGGAAACTTCTGAAGGCACACATCTTTGTAAACTAAAGGTTGTGGTGGTCTCCTTATTAATATTACATGCCCAAACCACATTAAATTAAAGCTTGCTCTGGGAAACTGTAGTCTTGAACATGTTAATACTTGTGTTCCGTCAGGACTACTCCAGTGTTCCCAGGCTGGCTATCCTGTTCTGTGAGAGTTCCCTGTATGAAATGACATGGGAATCTGAAGACAGGCCCATCAGCACAAGGAACAAGAGGAAGAAGAAGAAGGAGAGCAGCCTGATTGATAAAGTACAGGAGGCTCTGCCAGTGGGGTGCAATGTTGTGGGTGTGGCAGTGCCAGGAGTCATATGTAAGGTACTTTTTTAAATTATTAATTCAAAAATAAGAAAGTTACATGAAGGCAAGGTCACATCAGTCATAGCTTGCCAAATGTACAGGGGAACATTTACAGACAAATATTATAGACAATACAGCATATAAAATAATATTGCACAATGTTTCTCAAGTACCTGCACAGCTCCAAGTTTAGTTGCCTTTAAACTCCATAATTATGCAGGTGGTATTTCCAGCCCTGCTTATGCATTACATCATGTCCATTTTTGCACACCATTGGCGATGGCCATAATACCCATATCTTTCCTCCCCACAGGTTGTTCTACAGACTTGTCAGTTATCACTGAGGTGGAGGACAACCCTGCCATGTCTGCCCTCTTCCTGCCTCACATGGATGAGGTGAAAGTTCAGCCCTTCTATGTCTCCAACGAGGAATGTATCCATGGGCAGTTCAATGAGGATGGAGAGAAGGTTTTACGTACAAAAGGTAAGCCATGGATGTACACGTCACCTGTCCTGTTAACTGTCTCCCTGCTGACTAACCCTGTAACACATTTGTACATTTGGTGTCAAATATCCACCTTAGCATACTTAAAACACAATGTAGGCTAGTGTCTCCAAAGTACCAAGTTATGTTCTGGTATATTGAGGTCACACAAGCTGCTCAATTATAACTGCATGTCCTTATTGCTTCAGCCTTATCTATAGTATGTGGTAAACACTCACAATTCAGCTCTGCACTTCCACTGCAACTGAATGCAGTTGTATGTAGTCAGCCTGTCATCAATTTAATGTTTGTGCTGCAGGCTTGCTGCCAGACCCCCATCTGAAGGCTGTACTACTGCTGTCCTGTGGTCTGGGCTCTCCTGCCCTGCATGTGGTCTGTATGGAGCTGCTGAATGAGTACAAGGGAAACATCATCATTGCTGGAGCCTACCCTGAGGAGGTCATTGCTCCACCGGAACTCACTCCGTAAGTGCTGTACACAGAGTGAGTTAGATCTCACACACCATGCGCTTGCATACTCAGCTCCTTGGGGTGCTGCTTTTCTATGCTTGGTGATGAGAATCAGTAGCCTAGGTGCCATCCGATTTGCTGTTACAAATCGGATGGCACCCAGACTAGAGAATCAGTAAATACAAATTGTTCCTCTATGTGCCTGGCAAGTGGAGCCATAAACACACAATGTATCAGTATGATTCATGTGACGTTTGCTGTAAAATCTTTGTGTCATTTTATAAAACCTTCAGGTTTTCGCTGTGCACCTTTGAGAATATTAAGAATAATACGATTTCCTTCGAAATTTTACTGATTCTCAGAGCACAGCGGAGGGACGGTCTGGTGGGAATCGCCATCTCCGGGGAGCGCGTGCAGGCAGCCTCCATCCTGCTGGACCACTCGGTACGCACGCCTGCCGACGCGCAGGAAGCCATGAAGCGGCTGAAAGCTGCCAACATCCCCCAGGAGAACAGTGTGTGCTTCATGTTCGCCTGCGTGGGGAGGGGCTACTACCACTACGGGAAAGGTAATGTGGAGACGGAGGCCTTCCATAAAGAGTTCCCTAACACTCCCATCGTTGGCTTTTTTGGGAATGGAGAAGTCGGTTGTGATCGGAACGTGCCCAAGAAATCAGCCGCTCCAGAGAAGAGGTGGAATTTCCATGGAGGGAAGGAGGGGGAGGATGAGAAGTATCCTGACCTGTTTCACGGGTACACAACAGTCCTGTGTTGGTGTCC